TCAATCGTGTGCGTTTTTATAGTTTACCAATGTATACAATACATCAAAACACTTTCTACAAAAGAAACGAAGCCCCACAACAACATTGGTACCGACTCCAACTATCTGCTTGTTATTGAATTTGGCCACCGGATTCTTATAGTTCAATCTGCACCAAATATCATTCCAACCAGATTGCACTCCTTTCAAAAGATACCATCTCACAGTTGCTATCTACATTGCCTATTCACATCCTCAAACCCAGAAAATATGTTTAAAGTGTTTATGAGATTCCCCCTCTCTTTTAGCCATACATTCCACAACAATATGATCAAGAGAAACAAAATGGGCACTGACATTGATAAACCACGGTACAAACACTTTTAAAATTGATGAAATATACATTTATTACTGACATTGATAAACCACGGTACAAACACTTTCAAAATTGATGAAATATACATTTATTACTCATTGCAAATAGTACCATAACACTCAGAGCAATTGAATTGTACAAATGCTCAACAATACAAGCGTCAATCTTTTTATCCAATATTTAAGCAAACTACAGCAAAACAATTGCATTGTTTCAAATAAGCATTCGTATTATATGTATGGTTGCATGCGTCATTGATCTTCAACGGGCAAATACTGGCACTCGTCATGACTTCAACAAAGATCTCAAATCATTGCACAACACCAACACAACAAGATATAAAAACAGGGTCATCATCCTCATTCATACATTTCGTCGAGCATGTACAGTGCCTATTAAATAAAAGAACAAATACAACAATGTAATCACTTAAATCAACCGCACCCTCACATTAAATATTTCATTGCTAGCCAACATAATTTGCATAGCCAGATGAAGGAATAGCATCACATCAAATTTCGAACATATTATTAATTAGTAATATTGATAATGAACATATCGGATAAATACGTGTAATACAGAATGCGATTGACATTCAAAATATTTACCTCAATTTATTAATTTTTATCAACCTTAAATAAATATCACCGATCATTTTGGAAAGGGATATTCAATATTTCATCAAATCGTTATTAATATGATTTCAGAATATGATTTCAGAATTGATTGACAATATGATTTCAAAATTCAGAATATGAAGCATAAGCAAACCAAATAACATTTACCCGGACTTTATTTGAAGATCGACTCATCTAATTCATCATAAATTCTGTTTTCACGATGTCGATGAATGATTGAATACAGAAGCATTCAAAACAAGCTTTTCACTTCGACGAGGAAGAAAGATCTTTTTTTTTTTTTTTTTTTTTATGCGTGACGCCTAATTGTGTTGAAAATGAAGATGATTGATTGTATTGAAGATAGAATGCAATTAAATTTCAATTCGTTGCTAATTGCAATATGTACATGTCATTAGGGTATAATAATAATATCATAATAGTTAATCACCCTAGTTCATAATTTTTTTAAGTAAGGGTACTTTAGTATTTATCCAAGCTTGTTTTTTAATTATTTTCTTAATTAATTAAATTTTGGGACACATGGCATGATTTTAACGGAGAACCTAATGTTAGGTAGGTACGAGGCTGGTACGAGTCAAATCTGATATTAAAATTCCCCTACAAAGATTTAATTATATTTCCTTCTCAAAACTCAATCTTTTGTTTTAATCTTTCCATTTACCAATCATCGATTCTCACATACATATCTTTGGAGTTTGGACCTACTTATATCTCAATAAACAAATTTGTCTTTGAATGATTAGTCATTAATCCACCAAAACCTGTATCTATATCCACTTTCAAATAGTATGGAAAATAGCAAATTGATAACACAGAGAAAACATGCATGATCTATAGTAGTGCCTCCTTATTCCAATATAAATCTCTCGTAGTAAAGCAGCACACACACACACACACACACACACACACACACACACATAACTTGATAAGGCTTTCTTACTATGCACGTGCCTTTATACAACCAAATATGTAAAGGTGACTATGGAAGGCATACGCTGCATGTGGTAGAGTTTGTCAAATAGCTTCAAGAAATTGAAGGATACAAAATACCACCACAAATCCCACTATGAAACCCAAGCACAAATCCATTTTAGCTCCCATAGTCAATTGGCTGATCTCCGGGGCATTGATTTTGAAGGGGATGTCGTCCACAAAGACCTGGATTACGTACCTATATACATGGAAGCCGGATCATTTGTCTTCAGAGTGTCTAGTTGATGTCCAGAGGGTATTCTGCCTGATAAATTATTGTAGGACATGTTCAGAAAGCTTAGTGAAGTCAAATTTGATAAGCTCAACGGAATTTCAAAGTGCCAATTTGTTCTGGAATATGTCCACTAAAGTGGTTCCATGACAAATTCAAACTCATCAAGAGAGCTTATTTCCTTTGGAATTGGTCCAACTAAATTGTTCTGAGATAAGTCTATGCTCTTCAGAAATATTATATTTCCTGTATATTTGAGCTCTTGGCCTTTTATTTCCACTGCGAAACTGTCATTAGCCGGGCTGCCCCATTACCATGTATCCATCTTCAATATAATTCTAGCATAAAAGGATTCTGTTGTCGCCCTTAAGTGATTGCCCTTACCAGATAAATTGTTATTTGCAAGATCCAAAAAATGAAGAGCAGGAAGTTGTGTTATCTCTACTGGAAATGCGGCCAGAAAAAGAATTGGATCTTAATCCAAGAATTACCAAATGTGGCAAGTAATCATGACTTATCCATGCAGGTAACCTTCCACTAACGTTATTATGCGACAGATTAAGGACAGTAAGGTTGAATCCATTGACATGGCAAATGGTAAGATTCATTCATAGTTCTAAATTCGAATCTATCTTCCTTGTAAATGCTTGTCCTAGTGGTTATTGTGTTTAGTCCCAACTCCTGACTCCTAATGCATGTACAATTATTCAAACAGATCTACATTCTATTGGTGGGTTGGATCCTCTGCTTGGTTACTTGAAAAATTCAAATGCTGGCATCCGAGCAAAGGCAACAGAAGTTGTTAGTACAATTGTGCAGAATAATCCCAAGAGTCAGCAACTTGTCATGGAATCCAATGGACTTGAGCCACTGTTGACGAACTTCAAATCAGATCCAAGTACAAATGAACGTACAAAAGCTTTAGGAGCCATATCTTGTAAGTATCACTCAGTATCATGTGGAGCATAATCTTTTGCTTGAACTGTAGTTAATTTTTACAGTATTTTCTGTTGTTCATGCTAACAAAACTTCGTACAATTCTTTTGCAGCTCTAATTCGTCATAACCAGCCTGGAGTTTCCGCATTTCGCCTAGGAAATGGCTATGCTGGATTGAAGGATGCTCTTGGTTCCGATGATGCCAGACTTCATAGGTATGTCATTATAACAGTACACCCAGCATTCTGCAGGACATGTTGTACCAACGTTTTTTTTCCCTTAAAATGGTGTCAGACAGTAGACATGGGGTATATGGAGTGATCTGACCGGGCACATCAATACCAAAACTATCCTTGGAATCCTAAATGACCTATAGCAGTTGTAAACTAACAGAGCCATACTACCCATGCCATATTGAAATTCATTGTAATAGAAGTGTTGGTTTAAAGATTATTTTATTTACATTTGGTAGTCTATATTTGCTAAACTTCAATCTGATTCTGTTTTTGTTTTTGCAGTTAAAATCTGTTTTTTTTTTTTTTTGGCAGCAATGTGAATGACACAGTTCTATTCTGGATGCAGGAAAGCTCTCAATCTCATACAATACCTGCTGCATAACAACAAGGCAGACAGGAGTGTTGCTACAGAGCTTGGTCTTCCAAAGCTGATGATACACCTCGCGTCCAGTGATGATTCCTTAGTGCGTGAAGCTGCGCTAAGTGGCCTCCTTGAGTTGGCACAGGACAAGACATCTGCTAACTCTCTACCTGACCAAGACAAGCTGAAAGACATCCTCAAGAGCCAAATTGAAGGAATCAGCGCGATGGATTCTGACAATCTCCATGCCGCTCGCGAGGAGCGGCAGCTGGTGGACTCGCTTTGGAAGGAGTGCTACAATGAGCCTTCGTCTCTCAGGGAGAAGGGCCTTGTCGTGCTTCCTGGAGAGGAAGCTCCCCAACAGCTGCCACCAGACGTTGCAGGGAAGATGTTTGAGACACCGCTTCGCGCGTGGGCGGCTGCAAAACCTGCTCAGGAAGACGATTCTGATTCTGGCAGCGGAAAGAAGGATCCGCCATTGATGCTTAAGTTTTGATGGTCTCGGATACCAGTTCCAGTTCTTAGGCTTGGTGATTGGTGTAGAAGGCTGCAAGACACATCATCTTGTCTTTTGCCCTATGCACACACATCATCCTGTATGGTTCAGTAGGGGTTCTGATAATGTTTGGTTCAGAGTTTGCATCATCCTGTATGGTTCAGTAGGGGTTCTGATAATGTTTGGTTCAGAGTTTGCTTTCTGAGACAGACGATGACATATATTGTACTATGTGATGCTCGTAAATTAACAGTACTTGTGATTTCTCTTGCACGATAGTTAATTCCATTTTCTGATGCTTTCGTGATTTATCAGAATCCGGTAGTTAATCTCATGGTGTGAGATGCTGATGAGTAAAGAGGTTGTGTCTGCTTGCACGCTTATGTGCTTTCTGCTTATGCACATTCTAAAGAGTGGTCTCACAAAATATTCCGCCACACATCAAAGCCTTTGCCTGGAGATTGATGAGGGGGGCTTTAGCAACTGGAGAAAGAGCAGGAAGCCTCTCAACTAAAATTAATAAACAATGTGCTACTTGCAATATGACAGAAAATGATAACCACCATTTTTCATTGTGCTTTTGCAAGGGCGGTCTGGTTCTTTGCAAGCCCCCCGAACTCTTCTCACCTCAAGAACATGATGGGGTCCAGGAAATTAGAGCAAGCCCCCCGAACTCTTCCCGTCCCGTTCCCGGGAAAAAAACCAGAAATACGAAAACGAGCGGGTCAAATATGGGAACGGTTGCGGGACGGTATGGGATTTTCCCGTCCCGTTTTCATCCCTAGCAGAAACCCCTGCAAAGTATAACAAACATGATCAGTGGCTCCTGTATCTACTACCCAAGAACTGGTAGAACAAGCCGCAAAACATGTTTCGACAACTAAAGCAAGAGACGTACCAGGAACGTCCTTGAGGGGACAATCTGTCTTCCAATGTCCTCTCTTGTTGCACTTGAAGCACTTGCCTTTCGGTTTCACCACGCCACCAAAAGGCGCTACCGCTTTGCTCCAACCACTCCCACTGCTCCCAGTGGTCCCACTGGTTCCACCACTCTTTTTCTGCACTTGCTTTTTCTTCTTCCGCCTTTCGACGAAGAAGGTCCAGCTTGTACAGAAACATGAGCCTGTGGTCCCCTTCCCATAAGACCCTCCGCTGCAACCAAGTCCGTAAGAAGCTCGGCTAGAGTATAGCCCTTCTTATTCATGATTACATTCAGGCGGAAGTTCTCATAAGACTTCGGGAGCGAGTGCAGGATGATATCGATCTTGGCATCGCCATCGATATTTCCTCCGAGCACATCTATCTCATTCAGATACTCCATCATCTTGAGAACATGCTCTCGCACAGAAGCTCCCTCTGGCATGACGGAAGACATAATCTTCCTCAAAGAGTTCCTTGAGGCTCAACATCATGTCAGCAGTAGTAGGCATGGTGTGATGCTGCTGTTGCAAAATGTTTGACATAGATGCCAAAATATAGCAACAAGCCATCTCATCAGCCTTATGCCACTTTTGATGAGCCTTCCTTTCCTCTTCAGTAGATTGGACGCTCAAAGGAGTAGGAGCAGGAGTGGTGAGCACAAACTTGTACTCATCAGCAACAAGGACAATATCCAGATTCCTCTTCCAGTCTAAATAATTTGGACCAGTAAGCTTGTTTTGATTGAGAATGACCATAAGCGGATTGAATGACATGATGAATAACAGAAATAAATAATTGCAAACACGTAAGCAATAATTCACATAAATTTGAAGCACAAAATATGGAAACCTTCAAAACCATTATTTGATGCAACCTTCGACAACTTAACAAACACACATGCAAGCCACGTTGGGTGGACGTTTACACATATGTCAATTAAGCAGACACCCAGTCATTAATCTCAATTGCACGCCAACCTATTCTTATGTCGAATGAAATTAATAGTCGAAATTTTAACACTGGCCATGTGAATCAAAACAGAAACTCTGTTGGGGAGTTATATTAAAATTCACATCTAAGTGATGACCATAATTTTAACCCCAAGAACAATCATCCACAATTGATGAACTCACCGATGGGGAAGACGCATCGCTTGTAAATAATTTTCTACGGTTATCTCGAAATAATCTTTACCGGTGAGCTTATGAATGACTATCCGTTAGGGAGGAGACCCCATGGGTCACGCGTATGCCACTCACTTCACCTAAAGATTAAGTCGTTTGAATAGAAGTCTTATCTAGTAAGCTCGTGAATGTCGCATCCGTTAAAAAGGGGGAGACTTCCAGGGTCCCGCGAGCGACAAACACCTTACTTAAAGACTAATTGTGGAGTCCAAATAATTAAAATTCATATTAAACTCACTTAGTCATTTTTCCTTGAAGGTTTTTATCAGCATGGAACAGAAATAATAAAATTCCTATCATGCTCCTAACACGCAAATCACATAAATCCTAGCATGCTCCTAGAATTATAAACAAAAGCAATAACATCTTTCTAAGAATTAAAAGCACCTATTTACATGATTTCTAGCATGCCAGAAAAGCGATTTAAATCAGCTAGACACAATCAAATAAACATGCTCTAGCAAAACTTAAATCGGCATCCACAAAGCGATAAAAATGCGAAAATTAAAACACATCTATTGCAGCCCCTTCAAAACAACCACTAACAGCCTATCAAAGCTATTACATGATTCAGTAAGGTCGTGGATGAACACTCGAATTGGCATCTCGCGTAAATCTGGCCATTCACGCAATATCGACACCCACCGACGGAAAAGGGCCAAAAACTTCATCTAGACGATTGAATTTGACCCCGCCACAGGCTGTTACAGCATAGCCTTAATTTGTGTAAATCTCGTTTTCCCGTTTCCGAAATGGTATTATGGGCTGAAAGCACCTGTAGCAAAAGTTATGGTCAAAACAGTTTTCGCTGGCGAAACTGGCCCCGGTGAATGTTCAAACCCTAGCTGCCGCCTCCAGGATGATCATCTTCGTCACGTTCGACTTTGAATTCAAAATTACAGCAAAAATCGAACAAGAACAGCCCTACTACAGTCTACAAAATCGCTTATACTACCCACACTTATTATCTAGTGAAAAAACAATTACAACAATAAACAAGGGCTGCGATAGACACCATCTAGAGGCATAAACGAGATAAAACATCATCCACACTATGAACATGACTGAAAACGAATAAACGAATAAACGAAATCAACTACATGTTCCAGGCAGAGCCGATAATCTACGAAACCGAGGCTCTGATACCAATTGCTGGAACACGCCGACAAGACAGTCCTCCCCACGAATCGATATCAAATACCAAATATGTACATACATGATTTCGATAAACCCTAGGCATGCTCCTAAAGGACGAACAGAGAATTACCTTGAAAAGAAGGTTTGATTCGATCTGAGCGACCTTCTAGTCTGTGTCCCGACCACGCTTGGACGCTGGATGGACGACGATCCTCCCAACGGTATCAAGGAGCGGATTGCCTTTGTTCTTCTTTTAACTCCTCACGTTCTCTTCCTCTTCCACGTTTTCTGTGGTAGCTGAAGAAGTGATCAGTTATCTTAGGGTTCCAGAACGTGTGCTAACCCTCCTTTTATAGAGTCCTTGGGCCAGACTAGGGATCTCTTAAAAGGTATAGGGTTTGGGCTCCCTACAGGCCCAAATTCTTATGTTCAGCCCAGAACACAATTTGACCCACAAATATTAATTCATTCTACTAGAGAATTAATATTGCACTCCCGTCCTATCCCGAAATGAATCAGGGATTCTATTAGACTCGATATAATTCCCCGTGTTTAGGATATCGCACGTCCATTAATTATTAAAGCTTATGACTGCTTTAATTAATTAATATCTTTTATTCCTTAAGTAGTACCACTCAACCTTATTATCGTACGGATTAAATTCACCTGCAGGGTTTATACGATAATCCTTATGAGTTCTTTAAGGGGACGTCATCAACCTGGATGTCCAGGACACGGTTCCCTAATGCTAATAAATAGATGTCATGCAGATAATGTTGTTACCCAAGATACGGAGCATATTGAACCAATACTTGGTTCTCACCCATGGTAAATTAAAGTAACAAATAAATATCTCACATATCTAAGTATCACAGTTAGGGTTAAGAATTTGTAGAGTCACCGAGACCTAGGTTCCTCATGATAGTCAGAACAGAAGAACACGTCTCAACTGTGATCCATTCAATGCGACGCAGCGCACTAGTATAAACCAATAGCCAAGACAAGCTATATCCAGTTTATACTACAACCTATACCGATAGTCATGTCCATAACAATCTCAGTCGTGAATACCATTTATATCTTATATGGGACCGACGATGTAATCTTCTGTGTGACTACTAACACACCACATTGTCTACAATATAAGATAATTGAACATTTATCATACAAGCAATCATAAAGAATGCAACAATGTGAAAAACATTTATTTGAGTCAAATGGAAATCGAATAATACAATCCAAAAGCTCACATAAAAGTTTGTTTTACAGTATACTCCAACAATAAATTCTAATTTTAATCAGTTGCAGCTGGGATACCAAATGTACGATGGTTTGGTGTCGAAGGTGACTATAATGTTCTAGTTATGGACTTGCTTGGACCCAGTCTTGAAGATCTATTCAATTTCTGCAGTAGGAAACTTTCTCTGCAGACTGTTATGATGCTTGCTGATCAAATGGTTATTGTTGTAGTTTATTTTAAATCTTATTCAACGGCCTTGCCAATAGGGAGCGCACTTTTTTTCCTAGCCTAAATCACACACTAATTCATTGATTAACATTCTACGCATTATTTATTTCAGATCAATCGTGTTGAGTTCTTCCATTCAAAACATTTTTACATAGAGATATAAAGCCAGATAATTTCCTCATGGGTTTGGGTCGGCGTGCAAATCAAGTCTACTTCTTCCTACTACTCTGTTATTGGCTATATAGGTAAGGTGACTTATGTGCTGATATGATATTTCTTGGCATTAAAATTAGGACTACATCATTGATTTTATCCTGGCCAAGAAATATAGGGACAGTACAACTCATGAACATATTCCTTATAGGTGAGATGAACGTTTTTTTTATACACAAATCAGGTCTGCTTCGTTGATTTTTATAACCATTGATGGAAGCAAAGTGCAAATGCTAAAAGATCAATGTCCTTTTCATCGTGCCTCAATGCCGATTATTATTATTGTATTAACATAAATTAATTGCTTGTTGTTGGGTTTTCGAGACTGCATGACGCTCACTTGGTTAATCGGTTTTTCTGATTTTAGAATCTAGACATCTGGGGTCCAATCCTGCACTTATAGGTATCACATTTGTTCTGTTCTTACAAACTTGCTGTGTTAACTATTTGATGACTTACTAGGATGAGTAAGCACTCGAGAAATGAGGTTTTTTAATAATATGCTACGTATATTGGGCGTATTGAAAAAGTTCATTTTGTTACAAATGAGAGGAAAAAAGCCATGCCATACATGTTTTAGAGGGAATACTATTGGAAGAAAACTAATTAATAGTCTCTCAGTGAAATAAAACCCAAAATAGAATTTAGATAGTTGTGAAAGATAAATTTGAACTATTGATGAGTCAGTATCTTTTCAAATCTAGTGAGTCGAATGACAACACTTATAATAATGAAAAGGTTTTCAGTTTTGATGGAGGTATGAAGCGAAAGATGCCTTTCATGTTGTTTGTTGGTGGGGCTTGTAAGAGTATACCGATTGACATTGTAGTAATCTTTTGATGAATTCCTTTTCACTTTCTGGTAGATGAGGCTTTTTTAACTTAGACTGAAATCTTGGGGATCTTATTAGATACTTCAGGGAGTAAGTTTGTAAAATAATTAATTTATTTATTAAACATATCATTGCATAAATGAAGTAAAATATAGAAAAAATGAACTCATATGTGATTTTTTTTTTTTTATTTAGAATTAACATAATGATGTCCTCATATAAAAATAATGAAATAACGTTTTACAAACCTCAACAAAAATATATATATAAAAAAATAAATTCCTAATAAAAAAAACAAAAAGATTTTCTTTCATTTTAGTTTTAACGTTCTCATAAGAACATTCATAGTCGTTGAAGTCCAATACATCAATACTATTGCAAAATTCCTCTTAATTAATTTGGCAAAACACCAATTTTATTCAAACACTTAAGAAACATTATGACCCAACATATAGTCAAACATTATGATCGTATGATCTTTATAACAAGGTACTTCTATTAACAAAGGATAAATATCTCTATGAAATAACTAACGGTGTCACTAAAATTGCTAATATTTTTTGTCACTGTATAAACTACTACATTCTTCTATCTCTAGTACCCCATTGATGCATCGCCCATTGATGCATCGCCCCACGAGGTGGGAATGAATTTTATCTCCAAATAAAAGTTGACTTTCCAAAATCTTAGTTACATGTACTTCTCCCGAGGTGCTAAATTATTTTTTGAAATCATCATACATTACCTGAAAGTAGCTCTAAAGTAATTGCACATATATTCAAGCACAATACACCAATGAGATTATAAATATTTCTATAAAAAGTAAAAACTTAATTCTAACATTCAAAACTGTTTTGATACTCCTACATTTCATTTTCAGTGTTATTTATCTATAATATAAACGAACAATATAATCTATTTTTTGCAATGATAAAACAAAACAATGAGAAAATATTGAGAAACATATCATTTGTTAAAATATTTGACAACCGAAGAATTAGAATTCCATTATATAACGATACTTTTAGTCATTTGTAACATTAATTATTATGGAGTCATGATTAAAATATACATCATGTATACAAATTTTTATATTTTTTAATTATTTAAAATGGAAATAAATAATATATGATCATTGTTTATGAGAACCAATTTCTTACTGAGTCCATATATTTAAACGCTAGCAACAAAAAATAGTAATTTTAAAAGACTTTTTGTTTGTAAATATTGGTATTCATACTTTTCTAAGAAAATTAGCATGTTTTCTTTTTCTCATTTCATTACTATTATATTATTTGTTTCTTATTCTATAGACAAATAATATTTTATTTGCTAAGTAACTAAAGCACATTTATACGTATTATGTTATTTTTGTATGTGTTTTATATAATGATGGTATCAAATTATCTTATTTATTAGGCTACAATTAATATACTCACATAAGATTAAATGTAATTTAATATAGTGATTTTTGAAAAAAAAAAAATAAAAAATATAGGAACTAAAAAGTTCACTTGTTTAATATATTTTTAAAAGAAAAATTGTAAACAAAATTACTCAATAAATACTACATAAAAAATATAAGAAATCTTATATCCTCCCTATATATAATTAAAAAACATAACTTTTCTCAATTCAACATAAGCAAATCAATAAAAATAATATATTTTTAAAAATTTTATGAACAAAACTTGACTCAACAATTAATGAATTTATGAATTGTAAATATTTAATTAAAATATTAATTAAAAAATTGTAATTAAAAAATTGTAATTAAATATAATATAATATAAGATATACAAATATTTGATATATAATGAAGCAGATGATCGAAAAAATTCTATAGTTTATATTATTTTTTTTTGACAAATCTATAGTTAAGAACATGTGAAATAACAAGATTATAAAGTTTTAAAAAATATTAAATATAAGAAATAAAATGAATAATAACTAAGTTGTGACACGTACTAATAAATATAAAAGAAACTAATAAACAAAAATAATATAATTAATATATAACTAAATATAAACCTTCTAAAAATATACTTATCGATGTAATCGAACTGAGTTGTTAAACGCTTGTTAGTTTTTTGTTCTAATTAATTTTATGTGTAAATTTGAGGTGATAGACAATAGTTATTTGTACATTTATACATGTAGATTAGAAAAAAAAATCTTTATCATTCTAATTTTAAATAACTTTTTTATTTACTATATTAGTTTTTTTAATATAATATATAAGTATCATATTGAACAGATAAAACAAGAAATATTTTAATCATATAATATTTAATATGTAAGAAATGTAACTCAAATGGTAAATTAATAGGTAATCTTCAGATAAAATAATGAGTGATTTCTGAAAAAAAAAAAAAAAATTATAGGAACTAAAAAGTTCACGTGTTTAATATATTTTTAATAGAAAAATTGTAAACACAATTGTTCAATAAATACTACATAAAAAATATAATAAATCTTATATCCTACCTATATATAATAAAAACATAAGCAAATCAATGAAAATAATTTTTTCTTCTCATGTTATGTAGTTTGGGTCATTTCTTTATTCCAGGTGCCCCTTGTGTCTTTTCATACTTTGTAAAATTGGCTGCTGTAAAGAATGGTTGTTTTACAAAATTATTTACCTGTTCAGAATATCTCGAGCCCATATAGATCAATTACGGATACCAACACATTTATTAATAGTCATTTTTTTTTCGGTGATTTTTTATTTGATTCCATAGTCTATATTCTATTCCGCTCTGAGTTGCTTTGCTTCTATTGCAAGTGGTATGTACTTTGAGATTCTTGTAGTTATATTTGAAATACTACGAGGGAATAACAATCAGATGACAAGTAATAATCTTTTTGACCTCTGTCCATATTAGTCCATCACATCTATCTATTTGCAATGCATGATCTTTTTATGCCTCTCTCAAATCCACCTAAAGCTCTTCTTGATGGAGTCCTCGGTTTGCCTTCGACTGCGTAAGCTAGCGACCCGGTTTTTCCTCTTCGACTCGGGATCACTAAAGCATCATTTCTTGAAAGCTACTCCATTAAAAGACTTGCTTTTCTTGAACATCAACGCTTTTCACCGCCACCGGGAAATTGGTGATCCACACTACTGCTATGACCCAACATTTTTCTCTTCTTGAATAAAGATGTTCATATTCATAACTTTAGTTTTATTTGATAAAAAAATGTATTATTACCGTTAGTTAAGGTAGGGAGTCTCGAGGTTTGTGCTTCTCCAAGTCAATTCAAACAATCGTGCAATGACTCAGACAAAGGTTACAAATTATAACTGCAAACACAAAACTTCACCCCAGTAGTTCATTTCACAATTCAAATTGTTCTTTCTAATAATCTCCCTTTTTTTTCTTTTTCTTTTTTTCTGGAAATTGAACTACCAACATTCACTTCAACCGATTAAAACGATGTAAATACCGATCAATCAAGATATATCTTGACATCAATACCATTGTCGATGAGTGACTGAACAACCGCCCTAATTTTCCCTTCAAACTTATCCCTTTCCCTCGGAGTATAAGAAGCCGTGTACACATCAGCTTCCCGGGCCCTATCTGAAAGAATCCGGCCCACGGCCAAACAAGCGGGTATATCCGAACGAGATTTGAGTGCAGCCTTAATATCTTTTGAGTTGGTACCGGCAACAGCAACCTGCTTGCAAGTCACCCGGTGGGTTATTGAGGCCGACACAAATCGTTTTGAGATGAAAACATCGAGCGTGAATGGCTCCATGTAGGCTACAGTTCGTTGCTTAAAAGAAACGTGCTTGTTTGGAGTCTTGGATTTTTTCTCCTTTTGGTAAGTGTAGGGTCGGCTATTGTCATCATCGAGAAAATCCTCCACGCCAAAGAAGCTTCTTGGTGACAAAGAAGTCTGAAAGAAAATGAAATTGTAGTAGCAAATGAGGTTGAAACAAACTTCAGATCATTTGACGAAAATCAAAACAAGAGCATTGTGGAGCCGTACACTTCAGAAAACCGAAATCGATATTAAGGAAATGCCAATGCTCAAACAAAATTGCAACAATTGATATTCACCAACTCGAGGTTAGTAATAGGTATAGTTTAGACAGTCTTCCAAAGACGAGCGATTACTATGGGACAATTTTTTCTTTCGGTCCAAATACATGTTATTTAGGAAAAAAATGTCTACTCTCGAATCTTGAAATTTTCAATATGTTACTCTTTTTCTGAAAATTATCGATCAGCCAAAAGACACTGATTGTGAGCCCCAAGTAGTAAAATGTGCATTTTCTAACAGAACAGGCAATTCGTGTTGCAATCGACGTCAAACAACACTAAAAACTGATGACAGTACTCAAATTCTCACCTGACTAGAATGAAAACTACTTATTTGGGATGAAGACATCATTTCAAACAACACCAACAATTGAGACAATACTCAAATTCTCACCTGACTAGAATGAAAACTACTAATTTGGGAAAAAGACATCATTTCGCCACCTCCATTCATACGTGCGCATAGCTTTCGATATGACAGTCTCAGCATCGCAAAAGATCCTAAAACAGAAAAACAAAAAAGAATATCCTTCAATCCGTTGAAACAATTCCAGACAAAATCGACAGACATAATCAAGCCCACAAACTGTACGTGTCGACAAAATGGTCCTTTTTTTAACTTAAACACACAAATAACAGCACTTTCGTCGTTCAAGCATTACATCGAATAGGTTTTCTGCACTCAACTAGCTAACTCAATTTATTAGAAGCCATCAACATTAAATCCATGAAAAAGACAAAAGAAATGAAACCCATTTTTCTTCCCCTTCAAAATGGGGGACTACTTAGAGGGGAGGGAAAGTAAATCACTAGAACTAAACCTACTGATTGCCAATAAACTGAAAATGAAAAGGACCTGCGCACAAGAAGGCGAAGGAAGAGGAGGACGGCGGACGGGAGTAGAGGTGGCTGTTCGCGGCGGAGCTGGAGGAAGGGACGGCGATGTAGAGATCTTTACAGAGCGAGGTTTGTATTTTATTTGGCTTTTTCCTAGGGATGGCAATGGGGCAGGTTGGGTCGGGTAGTTCAGTACCCGGACCTGCCCCGCGCCCCGACCTGGCCCGTGACCCGCCACGGGTCCAGGAATGCCGCCCTGCGACCTGACCCGCGCCAGGGCGGGCCGCCCCGCCCTGGCCCGCCTTATTAAATACTGTGTATCTTTTTTTTTTCTTTTTTTTTTTTTCAAAATGTTAGGAGATATCTCATAAATAACAAGAGTCTTACAACCACAGGACACACTAATCCCAATATTACACACAAATAGCTAAGGATACTACATAGCAGCATCTTAAGAATACACATCCAACAAAACACTAAAATGGAACAACTAACACTGATATAAAAAGATAAAGAGAATCATTAACATACTACATAAGCGAACTCCAATTACAGCTAAAAGCAACAGGAACCTGTTTGAACTTCCAGCTCACCACAATGCAAACTTCCACCAGCAAACTTGAGATAGCCACAAACGTAAGAAGCAAAGGTTACTGTGTATTTGATAATGCTAATCTTTTACAACAACATAACCATGATTTTAACAATAAATTCATCAACAGTTTAGCATCAATTCAACATTTTTCTCATAAGATCTTAAACTTAATTCTAATTTACATACAAAGCATATTTAACAAATTAGCATTTGTTTCAAAGATAAAACCCCATCAATTAGCATTCTTTAATTTTTTTAAAATGTAGTAATTACTAATTACCTTAAATCTGCAGTGGAGTGTGTCGAGGCGGCGACGGCGAGGCGTCGGAAGCAGAGAGGCACGGAGGCGGCGAGAAGTCAGAGGTTGTGTCTCAATTCTCAAAGACGGGGAGGCGCGATCAGAAAGAGGGAGACTGAGACCGGAGGCGAGTTAGGCGACGCGATTTCACAGAGAGAGAGGCAGATGGTCCGATGGTGGCTGCCGGCTGGTGGTTGGTGACTGACTGAGAAGAGAGACGGGAGTGGCCAGAAGATGAGAACTGAGAAGAAGAGGCGCACGATTTCTGTTGTCTAAAAAATCCGTAACTGAACCCTAATTATGTAAGTACTTTTAGTACAGTCACGACTTTATTATTTCTTTCCTTTTTAAAAGACAATTGTATATTCAAATTAAAATTGTATATAAAAGAGCTATCATAACATTATTAAATATAATAAAAATAAAATATATATATTATTGAACACTTCTTTATATACACAATCTATATATATATAATTGCTAGCATAAAGCATTTAATAAAACCTATTTAATAAAACCTCTAAAATTTTCTCTCCATTTTTGATTACAAAATTTACCATTAATATTTTTTACTTCTCACATTAATACATCCTATTAAATGTAATCATGTATTTTTTTCTATTATATTATATAATAGTTATTGCTAATACCAACTAATAATAATTCACAATAAATATAAATTACATAATTATAAACAATTGTTTCAAGTTATTTATATTAACATCAATATTATCTTTTTCTTTCGTATCTCATGATTTTTTTAAAATACAATTAATAAATTGTTTTAATATCATAGTCAAACAACTTTAAAATCTTATAAACAATTATTTTTAATAATAATAATAATAATAATAATAATAATAATAATAATAATAATAATAATCAAACTGTTATTATCTAATAATAATAAACAATTGTTCATAATAATAAAATCGTTAATTTATTTTTCCTAATGATCAAATTTTTGAAAATGCAATATGTTCATTATCTAGAATATTTTAATATTAAATTCTCAAATATTACTTATGATATTTTATGTACATTGTGCATGTGCACAGGGTATCTACTAGTTATTAGATACAACGATAAAAAAATATATAAATATATATTGCTAAGACTCTAAACCCATAATTGAGAAGACGATCATTTAGGTTGGAACTCCTTTGACAACGCTTCATTCGAATATATAGATTGTCTGGAAACAACCAATCCAATAATATCTACAAAAATATAAGACAATTCATCATATTTAAGCTTACGCATTAAGACAATTTGGGTCTGTGTTTTTTTGTCTTGCTGCTATTTAGCTGGTAGTTAGTGTTTTGGCTGTTACGAGGCAGTCTGTTTTTGCCTTTGTTATTTTCTCTGTTTCTTTAGTGTGGGTGTTATTGCTGTGGTCAGTTTGGTGTTGTTTGGGGCTGAAAATTCCTAGTTTGTTGCTAGCTTCTATCCTATGGTTAGTGTCTTGTAGTTTTATCAAACTGTTGTAGTGTTGTTCTCAGGCCTTGCGGCCATCTCGAGTGTTTGCTCGTTGTACTGTTTATGTTTCTTTGTTTTGTTATGAGAATTCTACCGCTTGAAAAAATTAAAAATTAAAAATATTTGGTAATTTGATAAAGGTTTCACATTAAATTGATTCAATTTTATTTTTAAAATTAATTAGATAATGATTAACACAAAGTTGAGAATCTAATAGATATTGTTAGAAAAAAAAAATGATAGAAAATTTAAATTGATTTGATTCTCATTACCTAAAAATCGCTAGATTTTTATGGGATACCAATTGATTACTCGAAAGAGTTGTATTGGGTGTATAACTATTAGTTGGAAAAAACCTTAGCATATAGGCACAGAATATACATTCCAACATTAATTGATTGGCTTGATTTTTTTCAAAAAGCAAAAATGTCAAATCAATGTGTGAGCCATCTAACTTAGAGAGTGCTGGATGAGTATTCATGGGAGTATTAAAACCTTTGGATGCTTGCATCCCACTTTAGTTAACAAGTCCCGATTATATCTTTTGAGAGAGAAATCTCTGTTTGAGATATGAACAAACTGAATACCTAGTTTTTGATATATAAACTAGTATTTTACCTGTGCACATGCACAAATGTAATTAAAATTTTATATATTATATATCATATATATATATATAAATTTAAAAGCCATAAATTAGATAATGAACATATCACAGTTATAAATTTTATCATTGTTATAATGACCATATAAATATAAACTATTTAACCTGCATATTCTTTAAATTTAGACAATCATAGTCGATTATGATAATTAATTGGATAAAAAATTTTGAAATTATTATTGTAGCATTTGTGTACAAATCATTAAAAAAGTTTGGTCATGCCATAAAAGGTAATTAATTATAATTGTAATAAAAGAAACTTGCTTAATGGGATGAAAAAGAAAATAACATTTTTAAATATATAGTTTTAAAAGTTTTAGAATAGAATAACATTTAATGTGCATTTATTATAAGTTAATAGTAGCAACTATTATATAATAAAATAAGTAAAAAAAAATATAATTGTAATTAATGCAAAAGTAACGGAAAAAGGCGGGAAAACGAAAAGAGTTTTATTAATTGCTATTAGCCAGCAATTATATATATATAGATGAGCCTTTAGTTTTTGAACGAGATTGGCGATTTCTGTTGAGGAGAAACTAGTGATAATAATATCATCAACATCGGCCACAAGGATTATAAGCATGTGAATGTTTATAAAAGGAACATGTATCAGATTTTGAAATGCTGAAACCAAAAGACTAGATAATTGAGGTAAGTTTATGATCAAGCCCTTAAACCTTGTTTGAGGCCATAGAGAGTTTTTTGAAGCTTACAAACAAGGGTAGAATCAATGAAGTCTTCAAAGCCAGTAGATTGGGCCATGTATACCTCAGTGTCCAAATCACCAATTTTAGAAGAAAAAAAACTTTAGTAACATCTGATTGTCTAATATGATCCAAGATTGAGATACAGTAAGTGATAAAACTACTCTGATGGTGGCTGCCTAACTACGACACTAAAGTTGTTTGTATAGTCAAAACCTAGAGTTTAAGAATAGCCCTTTGACACAAGCCAAGATTTGTACCTATCCAGTGAACTATCAAGATGAAGTTTAATCTAAAAGACTCATTTCCCCCCAATAAACTGTTTGTTAGGTGGTAGAGTTGTTAAAGCCCATGTGCCCTTTTTTGAAGAGCTTGAAGTTCATCTACCATAGCTTGTTTCTACAGAAATGGTGAGGGTTTGCTTTGTGTAAGAACATTGGTTTGGCATCATGTCCGACAAACCTAAGTGTTTTCTAGAAGATTTCTTGTTAAGCAAGCAAAATAAATTAAAGGGAAGTTTTTCTATTTATTTACTTGTGATTTAATTAAGTTCCTAATATTTATTATTAATAATATATGGTATATATTCATTGTAGTATGTATTATGGAATCCTAATCCTTTAGGAGAAGGATTACATAATATATATCTTATATATTTACTTACCATATATGCCACATGCCATAATTAGTTCTCTTTTGCTTGGAGGACAAGGAATAGGTGGCAAGGACTATGAAAGGATGAGCTTTACATACAAGAAGAGATCTGGACGTTCATGAGAAGATCTAAGGAGAATTTGGAAAGATTCACCACAAGATCTTTGAAGATTTGGAAGATCGGCTATTTTTGGAAAGTCATGTTCTTACCAGATTCTGGAAGGCAAGATTTCCATTGGAAGTTCAATTCTGAAGA